CTTATGACCAAACCTAGTATTGGAACACACCAAACCATGGGGTAAAGTTTGCACTTTTTTGTGTTCTTGACTAAATAAATAATAATAATTTGGTCACTCAATCCCCGACTGTTTGTGGGACACCGCTGTGCGCAATTTGACTGCTGTGTTTCGAACCACAAAATACACAATCACTACACTTTACAGTATATTCTGTGAAGCACTTTGGGACAACTCGAAGACGTGATAAGGCGCTATATAAAATGCAAGCATTATTATTACTATTATTGAGAAGGAATATGCATCATTGCCACCAAGACTGAAGCCTCAACCCGGTCTTCATCCTGTCATATGATGTGAGGCTGTACAGCAAAACTTAGTGAGTATAATAGCATCCAATAGTGTGAAGTAGTAAGTGGAGGTGGCTAATGTAAGGGAGAAACATCTTATATTCAAAAGCTTTGCCCTCACGATAACTTCAGATGACTTCATTGGATATCCTGAGCAAGTTATAGCTATCTGATATGCTCTCAGTTATGTGTAATATTAATATAATACTCATTGCATTAACAGACCTATAAATGCTGTTTGTCAACCACAAAATTATTCTAATTTACAAGCACTTGTGACGGCAATATTCTGACATCATAATAGCTTCTCATATTTCTCAGTCAATATAGTTTCAGCTCTGGCCACATACACTGTTTTCATTTTAATATCCACTTTAGAAATAAAAATTGGTTGGGAAGCAGTAAAAGGCTATAATTTAATCAAGTGGCACAAAGGAGATCCATAAAGCACTCAGGTTCCTCTCTCGTGGTTTATGGCATTAGCTGAACCCCTTGATTAAATTACCCCTGCCTCACAACTATCCGTAAACCGGACACAGAATTTAATCAAAGAAATCAGATGACATCATACAGCTTTTGAACGTTATTTGAACTTGGGGTTAAATTACAGCCTTTTATTCGCCTTCAATAAAATGAAAACAATGTTAGCGACAGTTCCAAGTAATTTGAAATTATGTAGATTGATTCCTGTGAATCACTGGAATGTCATAATAACACTGGTGTGTGATTCACAGGCACATAATAGAGCAGAGCACGGTGGCCATTTCTCATAAATAGCTGATCTGTTCCAACAACTGTTCACAACATGGCTCAGTACACAGGGACATTCAGAGCCAGAAAAGACCGTTGGCAGTCCATCTGATCAGTCCCAAAGTTTCAACATCCTGATTTAATCCTACACCACTCTCTCCTACTCTTCACTTGAATTCATTACCAAATATTCAGTTAATTTGTTGTTGAATGTGTTGGCGTGACTCAAGTCCATCCCCTCGCTGGAAAGTGTATTCTACAGTATGGAAAAATAAACATTTCCCCTTCTGAGTTTGAGACTCCTTTTTCTGGATTTGTTGACCATGTTAAACATGTTAGTAGGGTTCGGTTTATCTATGAATATCATAAGACCATAAGACTTAGGAGTAGTAGTAGGCCATTCGGTCCCTCGAGCCTATCGGCCATTTAATAAGATCGTGGCTGATCTTCTAAGCTAATTCCATTTACCCGCCCTATCCCCATATCCCTCTACCATTCCATTCCCCTAAGTCTTCTAGTCTTTAGTGGAGGCCTTTAGCTCAGTGGTTAGAGCACTCGCCTCACAAGCGAGAGGACTGGGTTTGATTCCCGGCAGGATGAAACGCTAGGTTTCCTTACTCCACATGCCTCTGTTTACCTTGCAGTAAGTAGGAATCCAGTTGTTAGTCGATTGGTGGATCGCTTTTCCCTTCAAAAAAATAATAATCCTTACATTTGATACAGCGCCTGATCACATCTTCGAGACCTCTCAAAGTGCTTCACAGAATATACTGCAAAGTTAATTGACTATGTTTTGTGGGCGAAACACGGCACCCTTCCCCATCTTCAGGTCATGCCTGCAGACCTTTCTCTTTCGATCTTGCCTATGGTCACCCTCCCTCCCCCGTGCGCTGCCACTGTCAAGCGCTCTAAGACGTTACCATGCGTGAGAGGCGCTATATAAATGCAAGTTGTTGTTGTTGATGGCGATGCACTCTTTGCTGAAGATACTGTCCTTCAGATGAGAACCGAGGTCCCAACTGCCTGTTCAGTGGGATGCTAAATATCCCATGGCACTATTTGAAAAGGGAAGAAAGTTTCTCCCTGGCCAACAATTCTCCAGATAAAAAAATGGTCATTCATGGCCTTTTGTGGGGGATTGGTGTGCAAATTGGCTGCTGTGTTTGCTTACAAAATACAAAGAAACTCCACTATAAAGTATAACGTATGAAGCACTTTGAGACATCGCCCTGCTGTGAAAAGTCCAATATCAAATTGTTTTTCATTTCATAGTGATTCAATCCACTATTCCATCATGAATCACATATTAAAAAAAAGGATTAATTTGTAGTCTGAAGGGGAAATCTTGAGCTATGGAAATAACAGGAGTCATCATACCAAATTTAAAGGGGAAATTCTATGATATTTTTAGAAAACTGCAATTTACAATAGTTTACTTACAAACAAACCATGTGGAGCTGTGAGGTGAAGAGACGCAGCTTGACATATGAAATGTTTATCATTAGCAGGTGGATCCATTGGCTCTGGTTCACATGACTGCAGCTTGTGCTGTGCAGCTGTGCTATAGAACAGACTCGGGAGTGCTTGCTCATATATGAGACCCTTTTACACTGCAACGATTCTGGGGAAAGGTTCTCGAGGAAAACAAACCAGTTATGGGGGTGTTATCTCCTCGAGAAAGAATTGTAGACAGAGAGAGAACTGCGTTCCCCCTTGTGGTGAAAACAATCATTTTCGGAAATGTGGAAAACAGAATTTTTGACAAACTACAAACGGCTCAGAACCTAAGAAACCATGGATTCCACCCACACTCACTTTCCATCTACTTGACAAAAGTTCACCACATCTCCAACCTTTGACCCTGGCCTGGCTTCACTCTACAGAAAACTTTCCCCTCACACTGCAGTTCTCTCCTGTCAGACAATATTCAAGCTCCTGTAGGGAAGCTGTGCATAAAGACTTCCTGATCCCCAGATATAAACAAGCAAAACCACACAATATTTATTCAGGCCCACAATGCAGGCTTGGCCCACTGTCTGCCATAGAAGATGCATTGGAGGGACCCCTTTATTCAGATTATTTACTGCCACTGGGCAGGTATTGATTGCCAGGAAATTCCTGATTAGACTGTAATGATTGATGTCCACATTAAATTACTAATGACATTATTAATTATCATGGGGATATTTACCACTGAATTACAGAAGTGGCAATCTACAATTAATTACTATATCAGGTGCCACCATTTAATTATCCATGTTTCATTGCATTCATAATGTCACAATATCACAAGTGTTTTTTAAGGCATCGTTGACAGTTGGCCACTCTATCCTCCTCCACAGCCTCCTCTCACCTCAACCTTCATGGATCGTACCTCTCACACCGTCTCCAATTTATCTCCCAAAACGACTTCTCCTCCAGGCCCTGCACCGTCTCGTGCGGTGTTCCTCAGGACTCTGTCCTTGGTCCTTTCCTCTTCATCTACATGCCTTCTTGGTGACATCATCATTATTCAACTTCCACATTCTGCCTTCCCCCACATTTCCAACATCGCCCGGCTCCGCCATTGCCTCACCCCTCAGGCTGTTAAAACCATCATTCACATCTAGGCTCGACTTTACCAACTTTTCTCCCGCACCAGGCTCCGTGACTCCATCACCCCCACCCTTGCCTGGCTCCATTGGCTCCCCATCCCCCAGATATAGACTTCAAAATTCTTGTCCTCGCCTTCAATGCCCTCCATGGCCTCATTCTTTCCTACCTATGTGGAGTCCTGCAGTTCAGTGGTTATTTATTGTGCTGTATCTTGAATCTCTTTAGTATATAAAGAAAACTGTTTCATTAATTATTTATATTCTTCTGGTACAAAGAAAAATGGTCGCTCATGATTTATTTTGTTTGTCACCAGTAAATTTGAAATAGGCACTATGCACTTCCTGTCTAGGGAATTTTCTTTGACGGATTCCATTCCATTCCAAATTATTCAGAAAATTAGGTGAGGGCCGAAATCCAGGACAACACCAAGCTTGCTATAGGGTAGGAGACTTAAATGGTGACGTTGTAGTTAAAGCTTGTGATTAAAACTGAGTCCAAGAAAATTTGCTCCACAATTGGTTAGTGAGATATTGCTAAAGTGAGATATTGGCATTGGGATGTTAAAGTATTCCTAGGCAATGAATCCCATTCTCCAATCAGCACAAAGTCACCCAAACTATTGGCTAACATTTAAAAAAATCATTCTGAGAGGCCATGTTCTGGTAAACTCACCTGATCAGGATGAATGTGAAAATGTATTGGATAAAGTTCCACATCTTCAACAAATCACTATTACAATTAAGAGATCCTCAATTTATTTCCAATACGCAAAACTCTTTTGTCCAACAAATGCTCATTTTCAAGAGCATATAAGTTTACACCCAAAATATAGATATTATTTGGGGCTACAATAGGTAATATATACGGTCCAATTACAGAAAATCATGCATATCAATTTAATTAGGCCATGATTTTGGAAGAAATTTACCTGTTTTGATATACTATGTAATTACACTCTCACTGGGTCCCCGTCATAAAATTATTAATCCTTATTCATAGCGAATATGGTCATTTTAGCTAAAATGATGTTTTTTCCCAACTAACTTTTATTAGATGAGTTTCCTGATCATGCTGTTTATCTACTTGACATTTTGGATGCTGTAACAAATATAAAGTATGATGATTGCCATCACTATTTACTTGTATGACGATGGTTTCAAGAAATCTGATACCCACAAGATGAAAGATGGAAAACTAGAATAATTTGCAGCTCTTTTTATACATTCTTATTCTCAATATTATTCTCAATGATAATATTATTCCCCCAAATTACTGGACCCATCCGTAGGATTAAGTTGAATTAAGCAATCTATATTAAAAGGATACAGGTTTCTTCAGTATAAGGAACTGTATTGTTAGTCCCTGCTATGATATAACTGTAAAAGGAAACTTCCAGTGTGTAGCAGTAAGACGTGTCATCCAGAAGGCCACCAAGAAATCTGCGTCCTGTGCCCGCCTTCACAGCGTCTCGGTTGAAGCAAGTATTAGACTAAAAAAAAGAGATATTTGAAATTTAAAAACTTTCTGAACAAATAATGGTTTTCTTGTTGACTGTACCAAGTCAGCACTAATCCACTGTTGGAAAATGACCCGCACTTCACGTCATGCATATGCCTCACGTGCAGAATACCCCGACCAATATCTGTGAAAGGCAGAATTGTGCATCAATCTGTGAATTTTGGGTGTAAGATTATCAATTGCCTAAATTAAATAATGTCAACAATTGGTGATTTATAAATAATGATCACTTATATTGACTCATCCAACTCACACCAGTGGTGCTCAATTGCTTAGTTTATAAACCACTGCCCTCCAACATGTAAGCGCGTGTTTATCTGCCCAAAAATTCACAATGAGGAGGACAAAATACATCTCCCCATCTTCACTTTAACATGTATTGTCCATAATTTCTGTTTACTTACATAATAATTAAGGACTGTGATCCTTGTAGTTTTTTGCTTGTACTTATAGACAGTAATAAAAGGTACAGTAACAAAAGGTGAGTTAAAAACATTTTAACATTTTATGAGTTAAAAACACTTTAATTCACAGAATCTTTTAATGTTGTTTGTAGGAAGGTGCCCTTTGCAGTTATTAATCACAGAACCAAAATGCTGTATAATAAGAAATGTTAGTTTGTGAACTATTTGAAATCCATCACAAAAAGCAAAGCTCAGTCTTATCTAAGTGAAGCTGGTTTGACATTTTCCTCCCAAACAAATTAAAATGGCTAACACTGATATTGGCAGTCAAAGCATGCAAGCAGTTACTGTACTGATTGAAATATTTCCCATTAAATAACTTACATAATATTTGCTTACCAGTTCCACTTTTGTGTCCATTAATTTCTAATGGTCTGGACTTGAGTCACATATAAGACTCAGTTATGAATTTCTTTATCATTTGAAATTACTAGTGATTCAGCTGTAGGACTATGCAGTTTTAATAGGAAGTCTTGGAATCTATTTGCTTCTCTCATTTGTACAGGACGAAAATAACGGACATTTAAATGATGCCCTTGGGCTGTGTTCTGAGGTTTGATTAGACTGAATGCCATCATGTGACAAAATCTTTTTTCACAGTTTTTACCAAAATTACCCCAGAGAAGCACAATAGTGGGGAAGTAATGCCAGAAAGAATTTTTTCAAAAAATATTTCCCTCTTATGTTCTGAAGTCTGGCCACACATGTTAGGTTGCCCAGTAAATTTCACTGCGAACAGAAATCTAACCCAAGGGGGATAATAAAACAAATACTAACTGCATCCATCATCCATCCAACGACATGACTGCTAAAATCCCTTTCAAATAAATGAGCGTGAATTTTGCTAAGTGCTGCTTTGTTATTCGGATCAGAGAACAACACATTTGACTCAGTTATTAGGGTACAAGTTATGCTCTCACTAGAATTCCACAAAAAATGCGGTTTAACCCATGTTTTCCCTAAAATTCATACCTGTTGGATGTCAATCAGAATGGCATTTGGCATTTGACAAGTGGTTGGAATGGATGATGGACAGAATCTTAGGATTTCTTCCAAAGAGGTTAAAATTAAATAGTTTTATAAAGGGAGATTTCCACGACAGACTGGATAACCTCTACTGAAAACTATTTCCTCTGGTCGGGGAATCCAGAACAAGGGGGTTTAATCTTAAAATTAGAGCTAAGACATTGAAGAGTGAAATCTGGAGGCAGTTTTTCACACAAAGAAACTCTCCGGAACTCTCTTCCCCAAAAGATTGTTGCCGTTGGATCCATTCAAATTTTTAAGCCTAAGGTGGATAGATTTTTATCAGGTCAGGGCATCAAGAGTTATTAGGCAAGGGCGGGTAATTGGAGTTGAGGTACAGATTAGCCACAATCTTATAGAATGGGGGAACAGGCTCGAGGGGCTGAATGGCCAACTCCTGTTTCTATGTTCCTATCATCAAACAGTTTCTCAATCTTCTCAAGACCTCCTTGTCATTGGAATATTTTGATTAATCCTATCACTATAAATGTACAATTTGTTTTCTTTCTTGAAGGTAATGCAGCCACAATTTATTGTAAAATGCGAGCTGTTGAGACAATATGTATAAAAAAATCAGTGTTCAAATTCATGTACTAAAAATGGAAAATGTAACATTCACTTTGCTCCGTGGTCAACAACAATCTGTACCAGAAATCTATTGTTTTAATTCTCTTATCAAGAGCAAAAAGATGCTGATGCTTCAATAAAAATAGGTACCTTTGAATATAATTACTGAGGAAGTACAGTGCATGAAATATTTTTGATTTTATTTGCTATTTGTATAATGGAGTGTTTATGGGGATCTATAAGATCCATTTTATATGTCAGCCGCAGAGTAAAAGTGCATGTGCATCTTAAGAGTATTTTAATTCACTGCTCCTTGTAAATCAATCAAGGCTGACAGCTCCTTTAAGCAGAATAATTTTTTTTACCGATACTGTCGATGGGGATAATGGCATAATGTCTCTGCTCTATTGCAAGAGAGTTAAAGGGTCAATCACAGGAAACAGTTAATGAAAACAGTGATGATTACTCAGTTGTCTTCATGTGTATGCATAACATTATAGTAAAAAGGAAAAAGTGATTGCAAAATAGAGTTTATATTTAATATATACATGTATTATTTATTTTACTAGGAAGGCTAGGGGAGAAGTTATTACTCTATTGTCTGTTTGTTCATGTTAAACCCCAAATTGTGGGATACTGCTGTGCGCAATTGGCTGCCGCATTTCACCCACAGAATATACAGTCAATTCACTTTACAGTATATTCTGTGAAGTGCTTTGAGATGTCTTGAAGACGTGATAAGGCGCAAAATCAAATCTTTATGGGTATTCGCTAGCCTGGAGGCCCTTTAATAGTACAAATAACCATAGTGGCCCAGAAATAGTAAAACAATAGGAAAATGCAGTGTGCTATATCAAACATTGTATTTATTTACCATCACAATTAAACAGCAATGATGAGGCCCTTCATCTCTGATGTTTAAAGCTCTTGGGAATAAAAGATACTCACTCTTATACTGCATGTCTCAAAACTTATTTCTTTGACTGCCGTTTCAATCATCTTTTCGGTCATCTTTCCCCTCCCATCCACTCGACTCCCACCCCCAGCTCAGCTGCCCGTCCAATATTGCCAAGTGTTTTGAGATGTCCTCCTGATGTGAAGGGCACTGTGTAAGTTATACTATACTGCAGTGTAGGGCAGACACTACCCCGTGTTAGGGGCTCCCAGACTCTGCCCCGTGTGAGGGGCTCCCAGACTCTGCCCCGTATGAGGGGCTCAAGACTCTGCCCCGTATGAGGGGCTCCCAGACTCTGCCCTTTGTGAGTGGCTCCCATGTGAGGGGCTCCTGTGTGAGAGGCGCTATATAAACGCAAGTTGTTGCTGTATGGACCTGGCCAGCAGCCAGTGAGCTTTGTGCTCAGCCAAACCGCAGCTGGTAATGAGCAATGAATATAATTGCACCACATCAGGTTTTCCTCTCCTGAAGGTGAAAGACTGCAGTTAAGTGACATGACCAACCTAAGAGTCAACTTGAAATCTGTGAGCATCCGCAAGGAGTCACAGTGATACAATCTGCACATTAAACATTCATCCAGGAATGTCAGCCACTCAACACAAACGTCCCCTGTGAAAACAATGCGGGTAAAAGATTGGTAACATTATTTAAAAAGTAGTCAAAATGTCCTGAAAAATTGCACATAGCCACATGCACACACTGTGAACTAAACGGATCCAAATGTAAATTACAAAATACAGTAGGTCCAAAACAAGGCTCTACCCCCTCCCCTTCAGTTCTGGGCTTGGGTCCATTACCAGACGGCTTTCTGCTCACTACAAAATGGTTGGTGAATAGGTAATTAGGTCATCGCTGATAACACTTCCTCCACATCCCTGTTATAGGAAATGTGCATCAGCAACCTGATGAGCTGGAATTAAACCATCTTTAAGCATGTGGGACGTCAGTTAAAGCCTCAGTTTATTCTGGTCATGTTTGAATCTCTGAATATTGTTTACTGCTTTCAAGTCAACACAGGCGCAGTGGCAAGACAGTGCAGAATCCCATCAAGAAAGAGATGTGATAAGGTTTTTAAACCTTTTTTTTAAAAAAGTCGAACTAAAAAGCATCACTTATACCTCTCTGGCTGGAGGTAACTATTGGGAAAGTCCCTCCCACATAATAATAATAATAATAATCATCCTTACATTTGATACAGTGCCTTATCAGTCTCCAAGATGTCTCAAAGCGCTTCACAGAAAATACTGTAAAGTGAATTGATTGTATATTTTGTGGGTGAAATGTGGCAGCCAATTGTGCATAACAGTGTCCCAAAACAGTCGTGGGTTAAGTGTCCAAATTATTATTATTATTAATTTTTTTGGAAGAAATTATTACCCCCAGAAAAGCAATCCGCTAATCGACCAACAACAGGTTCATACTTACAACAGTAAGTAGGATCCAGGTAAACAGAGGGATGTGAAGTAAGGAAACGTGCCTAATGTTTTGCCCTGCCCAGGACTCAAACCCAGGTCCTCTTGCTTGCGAGGCGAATGTTCTATTTCAGTCTAGTTCGGTTGGTACCATTCTCGCCTCAGTCAGAAGGTTGTGAACTTTGAGATCACATTGTAGGGTGACATTTCAATGCAATGCTGCATTGTCGGAGATGTCATCGTTCAGATGAGACATTAAACTGAGGTCCCAACTACCTGTTCAGGTGAACGTCAAAGACGTCGTGGTACTATTAAAAAAAGGGTAGTTTCTCCTGGTGTCCTGCCAACAATCCCCCAGAGAGAAAAAAAATGGTTATCCATTTGATGGCTGTTTGTGGGACAATGGTGAGTGGAAATTGTCTGCCATGTTTGTCTACAAAATACACAATTGCCACATTACAGTAAAATCCTGTGAAGTGCTTTGAAATGGCCTCCTGTCGTGGCACTGTATCAAATGCAAGGATTATTATTATCATCTCCCAGCAACTACTGCAGATCAGAGGAGGCAGCCTGGGAATTGTCTTCCTCGCACCCTCGATGGGATTTCCATGGGGCAAAAGTAATGGGGGAAAAAATAATTAACAAAATTGCAACAGCACATACACATTTGCGTAAGACAATAAAGCAAGTAGATTTCAACATCTACTGTGAATGAGGGGAAAGTTAACTCACTAAATGTGATAGATTTATTTTGACCTTTCATTGTGAAAGCACTCTACTGGCACGTGGATCAAGCGTTTCCCAAACAAAAGCCCCAGCTTTATATATTAAAGCCAGATATGTATCTCTGTTGATAGCCAATACAAATCTGTCTAAAAAGAATGATTCTGATAAAGAATGATATGTTTGCTTGCTGAATACTGTGAGTTGAAAGATTTATTTTGGCACAAACATACGTGTTATTGTGCAACCAAAATATTGGCATATGAAAGATTTTCTAAAGAAATAGGCAAAAGCTGATATTAGAAAACAAATCTCTATTGTCAGTCAAGAAAAAAGTCTAACCCACGAAGATTCCAATAAGCTCTTACAATAACATTTAGCAATTAAAGGAGATTGCTTACAAAGGAAAAATCCTCAGCATTTTGGCAAAGAAGCTTGGGAAAGACAGCTTGCCTCTGGTACCTCTCTTCATCCTCAAAGATGTTTCCATACATAAATCCGTTCATCATAGTTGAATGAGCATGGATGTCGATGTAGAAATCCACACTTGCTTTCTGTTAAGAGGGGATAAAAGGAAAAACTAAATGCGACTTGAAAATGTGTAAACTATCTCTCAGCCTGCAATGTTTTTTGACGAGACTTAACTTTGCCTTTTCCAAAATAAAGGTCACAGTTTGAGCAGATTAATCCAAAATAGAAATCAGGTAAATTTTGATAAACTGCTGCAAAATCTTTGAGGAAAGTGGAGTGTATGCTTTTTAAGGCTGCTGCAGCTTACAGTGATATTAAACTCATCATTTTTGTTGTCTGGAGGTGAAATACAAAATGATGGAATAGAAGCTTTTATGGTAGTCATCTTGATGCTTAATTCCCAAAAGTGTCTTGTTTGTGCATCAGCAGTAGAGAGAGTTTACAGAAACTGTAATTACCTACAAAGTGATAGGGCCACAAATACCCAGGATAACTGTGCTTATTTTTATTGCAACCAGCCAAATAGGAACTTACCGCATTTTGCTATCTTCCTATTTATTTCAAAATAATTAAGAAATCTAGAGAGAGCACATGAAAAGCAAGGACGAATGTTTTATGTAAAAAAAATCTTCCTCCCCCAGCTTTTAAACTAGCTTTCCTCTTAGCACATCCTCCAATGTTCTTTCAGTAGTTATCTTGGAAAGAAGCACAAATACATTAAGGTTTTATCAACAGCTTTCTACATCACTGCACCAGGATCTGCAATGCAGGATTTTACATAACATCTTGCCTTTTTTATTAATATCTATGCTATGAACCTTTGAGCAATAAACAATGAACTTCCTCTGCTCAGTGGTTTCTCTCGCTATATATCAAAATTAGCAGGATTCTCAAATGCTCAAGATCACTTTATCAGAATAAGGTTCTTTCAATTGAACGCAAAGAGGGGTGAGTGTGGGGGTGGGGTGGGGGAGGGGGTGTGGGGAGGAGGGAAGAAAACCTGGAGTTCTAATCAATAAAAAGAATGGTGCTGAAAATCACAGCTCAAAAACAAGTCATAGATAGTATGCGAACATCCCAGCATTATCTATTCACGGCAGCACTTCCAATCCTAAGGGTCATAAACACATACTGGAGCACAAGCAACTCTGTTTTAAATTCAGTTCACAGCAGAAGCAATTTCCTAGTGTGCAAAGTGCTGTCAGCAGCCCTGATGTTTGTATATGAAATATAGACAATATGACTGGCCCATCGGCAGCCATGTCAGCCTGATGGATGGTGCCTGTAAAGAAGTGAAGCGGTTGCTGTTAGGGCCAGTCTATCAGCAGCTTGAAGGAGATTCAGACTTAATAGAGGTAAAACTCTTCTAATCGGCAAATTTCCTCAGGTGATGAGCAGAGGACGAATCTGCAAGATACCGTGCAACCATTGCCTCTGGTGCAGTGTGGAGCAGTATAGACTGACAGACAAACAGACAGACAGACAAAAAAGAGATACTGGGCACGTTTATAAACTCAGCTAATTCAGGGCATGTTTGGATTTGAGGATAAATTAAATCCATGCACATCTCTGCTTATTTGTATTTCATGTACAATACAGCTTCTTACAAAAAATCCGAGGCTCTGACAGTAGAATTTTATGTGTCAAACCGCCAGCGTGCACATTGATGAATTAAAGACGAAATGGCTTTAAGGGATTGAATTCATCTTTTTTGACACTGCTAATACATTTGTTTCTGCTTAGAAATTAATTTTCTAATATTAAAAAGGTCAGAATGAACTATTGAAGTCTTTGATATTTCCTCTTCTTTCACAAATTATCCAAAATGCTTTTGACAGACATAAAGGGGATAACATTTGGATGTTATATGTTAACGGGAATCACCTGATGAAAAAATAATTATTTTTAAATTCGATAAATATAGCAGAAAAGCGGAGTGAAAAAAAGGTTCCCTTCTCTCAAGATGACTGTGTTGGGGTGTACATGTAATAAAAGGTTGGCTTTTTGCTCAGGTAATAAGCTGATTAGCCAATCATGGCTACATACAGAGAAGAGAATAGAGGGGTATGGAGGAGGGGAATAAATGGGATGAAGGTCCATGTAGAGTATAAACACTAGCGCAGACCAGGTGAATGGCCTGTTTCAGTGCTGTTATGTTCTATATAATATAAGTGTCAGATATTATTGGAATTACTTACTGCCACTGCAGTCTTCAGTACTTCAATTAACATTCCTCATATAAGACACATATAAGGAGGGGTCTATCATACATTGATCACTAGTGAACTACTTTGTTTTGTCTTCATAGTGGGAAATCCTAACACTATCTCACCCACAGCTTACTGGTCTGAGCATTAAGTTCAACTTGAGATGTTTGCACTTTATTTTCCTATTGGAATTATCAGCAGTATTATTTTCCTCTCAGCATCTCACTCTTCCATATACATTATGCATTCTGTTTATTCCCTGGATATCTGAATCCTTCCAAGATTTTAATCTTTATATTGTGTACAACGTTTTTAACATCAATTCCCACTATATCACAACCTGCTAATGGGCCTTTCGCTCGCTCTTTGTGAATGTTGAATGTTGTGAATACATCACCTATTTCATTGCTTTTTTTGGTTTCTTGGTCACATCATTCTTGCCCCTTCAACCAATACAGGGGCTTCCAGAGACTCATCACTCAAGTTCTGATGTAAGTTCACAAGTGAAGTTAACCGGTTAAAATCCAGCAATGCCCATGGTCTGGGATCCCCAAGACTTGGCTCTTGCCAACCTGCACCTAATATTCTCCCAAATCAGGTAGGCAGATATGTCCTTCCAGTGAGAAAGTGCGCACTCCATTCCACACACAGGGACATTTCGATATGTACATAATGATAATAACCCTTGCATTTGATACAGCGCCTTATCATGTCTTAGACACATCTGAAAGCGCTTCACAGGCTGCACTGTAAAGTGAATTGATTGTATATTTTGTGTGAAACGTAGCAGCCAATTGCGCACAGCAGTGTCCCACAAACAGTCATGGATTGAAGTCTGGCCTGCTCCATGTCTCCCGCCCAACCCGCCCTACCATCGGTGGCCGGGCTTTCAGCTTCTCTGCTGCCACACTCTGGAACTCCATCCCTCGGTCCCTTCCTCCCTTGCCTCCTTCAAGGCCGGTCTCAAGACCCTCCTATTTTGGTTGCCTTTGGTCACCCTCCCACCTCTCTGCCTTCCCTCAACAACAACAAGATTACATTTGTATAATGCCTTTCACATCGGGAGGACATCCCAAGGTGCTAGACAGAGCTCAAGCCCCGACACCTGACTGTCCAGCGCTTTGGGACGTCCTCCCGATGTGAAAGGCGTTCAATAAATGTAATTTTGTTGTTGTTGTTGAAGTGATCCAGATGGTCTAAATATGTGAACTGGTTTGGATTAAGTGTGTTTCACCATGTGATAAACATCTGGCCTAGCAAAACAGACCACATTAACTTATTTTTTCTTTTGAGATTTTTGAAAAAAAGCAGAGCCAGTCTCTTCTTTTTCTTTCTCTGATAAATAATAATAATAATGACGATGTTAACATGGTGCAAAGTGTAGCAAAAAACAGCATTTCATTTCTTATATTGAAACTAAGAAATCCAAGACATATTGTCGATAGCATCTTTCAAAAAAATGAAGCTATTAATTGAAATAAAAAGTCAAGACATTTCTTTACTGGGCTATTAAGGATCACGATATACCCTGGCACGATATAGAAAGAGATATTAAATTTACTGGGGAGAGCAACCGTGCTTATGAGATGGTTAGATCTTATATGGTGATGCTAAATTATAAAGTTCCATTCCTTTCATTTCTCTACAACTGCAACCAAGGCTTAAAGATATTCATTGCTGTCAGGAGAATTCAGGCTTGAATTAAAGGAAAGGGAAGAATGGGAGATGAAATAAAATCTAAAATAAGAATGTGCTGTTAGATTAAGGGGAACGATTAAAAACACAGAAATATCTTGGTGAGAATGTAAACTTTTTTGGAACTGTCCTCGATAAAATACTGTAAATAGAAGAACCATTATCCCATTGCAAAAATTCCACTCAGCCACAGGTCTAATCAATTATTCATATAATCAATATGTGCCCAATGCATACTCTCTTCAGGGCCTGTGAATGTTAAATGAAATGGAACATTGCACCTCAAGGAAACATTTCTCCCCCAAAATTTTATCAATCCCCTTCCCACCATAAACAACCCACCCCCCCCCCCCACCCTCCCATCCACCCCTACCATAGAATACTAGATTTAATTCCTTGCAAACGTAAGCCTTACAGAAAAGATTAGTTCAATTTTTAGCAGGACTTGCTGGGGAAAATCATTTGCAGAATGTTATCATCAAGGTACAAATTATATTTCCTATTCTGCTGAGGCAACAAGGTCTCAACCTTTTCATTCATTAATACTCACCGGGTTATCATACAGTTGCACAATCAGCTGTTTTACACCGAAAAGTGTAGGATGGGCCCAACAAGAGGGATCTTGCCAGTGTCGGTTTAGATCAAAGCCCATTAAGGAACATCTAAAGAAACAGCAGGGCACATTTTTAAAGGAAAGCTTAGATATTTACTGTAGACTGGTCGAGGGTAGTTGAATACAAACATTACACCAATTATAACAATAACAGCATAGTAACTTTCAGAGCATTGATACATATATTCAGTGAGACACTTCCAATAATTGCCTTTCTAATTCAGATCAAAATATAGTTCCAACATTCATTTGATTAGAATTTGTGAAATGTACATTTTTGTGCACCTCATTCTGAACTGGTGTCTGCATTTTCTTTTCTACACTAGAACACAGAAACAAATATAGAAAGGGAACAGCATTCATTGCTGTACGTCCAATGCCATGCTTGAAGCTGACTTGTCAGGGAGGTTTGAGGTTCAATGCAGTTAGTTAATCTCAGCCTGGACTGGGGCCTCAGTGAGTCTGATTTCTGCTTTGGATTGCTAACCTGTAAGTAATTCCTCCTGAAAACTGCACTTTGGGTAAAATCGCTAAATAGCAAATCTCAGACAAGTCAAACAATAATACAGTGCTGAGGGGATGCTGCATTATAGAATCATAGAATATTATAGCAAGAAGGAGGCCATTCGGCCCATCGTGCCTGTGCCATCTCTGTGGAAGAGCTACCCAATCAGTCCCACTCCCCCGCTCTTACTCCATAGCCCCGCAAATGTTTCCTCTTAGGTACCTATCCAATTCCCTTTTGAAAGTTGTTATTGAATATTTTTCCACCGACCCTTCCAAGCAGTGCATTCCAGATCATAACAACTCTCTGTGTAAAAAAAATTCTCCTCATCTCCCCTCTGATTCCTTTGCCAATTATCTTGAATCTATGTGTCCCGGTTAGTGACCCACCTCTCAGTGGAATCAGTTTCTTCCTCTCTGCTCTAACAAAATCTCTCAGAATTTTGAACACCTCTATCAAATCACCCCTTAACTTTCTCTTCCCTTAACCAACAATAAGTTCTCTTATTGTACTATCCTACACATGAGACGTTAAACCAGTGTTCTGTTTAAAGATACCATGGGACTATTCAAAAATAAAAGGGAATTTCTCCCCCGGTGTCCAGGCCAACAAGCTCCTCAGATAAAATTGTTCATTCACTTCCTGCTGTTTTGGGATATTGCTGTGTGGTTGTTGCATTTATCTACAACACTCACATCTTAAAGTAAATCCTGTGAAATGCTTTGAAATCTCCTCCCAACATGAAAAACTCTATATCAAATGCAAGGATTATTATTATTACTACTATTATTATTATTACTATTATTAATAGTAGTGTTTCATGCTGTAACATAGTGAAGGGTGTTACATAGTTAATGCAGGATATGCAGTCATCACTTTGCTCTTGAATTAAAACAACATCAGAATCCTTCATTGTATTCGCTATTTTCCCTGTGCAACATGTAGACTTGCAGTTCAGCTTGTGAAAATAGAACGAACAAAAGAAATATCTAAACTAAATGGTTTCACATGGGATGAACCTTTCACTACACCCCTGTGTAAACCTCCAGTAATGCTCGAGGACACTTCCAAATTGTAAGAACATATAATTTGACTTTTAGTTAACATGTCCTTAGGAACACTGAAGTGATTTTAAATTTTCTTGATCATTGTATAAAACTCTTGTCCTGCTCAATTATTAATAAAACGGAACTGACAGCCTGTTTATAGAGAAGAAAACAAATGGAATACGATTAGCTAACTCGTTCTTTCCTAGTCTTCTTTTCTCTGATTCTCGCATTGATACTTAAAACAGTTTTAAATACAAAAAAGAACTTCCATTATCATTGTAGATTACCATTGGTAATTTAAATTGTCAAATTCCGTTTGATCCAATTTAGATGCAGTAGAAAGGCAGAACATACATCAAGACACGATTTTCAGATGTGCGTGTCACATCGAAAATTATTAAAGGAGCTTTAACTGAATACATTTGATGTGCAATAATCAGGGTACAATATATAGTTTGGGACACGACATGTCAAGGGACTGCCAGGATGGTGGAAGGCGAATTGGATGGACTTTGGTCTTCTTTCACCAGCAAATTCTTATGTTATTATTGGAGTGTGATAAAAGTGATGGAAGTTTAAGTTGTACTTTTATTAATAAAAATCCATGCATTTGATATAGTACCTTGCATGTCACGAGGCCATCGCAAAGCATATCACAGGGTTTACTGTACAGTGTAGTGCCTGTGTTTTGCTTTAAGTAATTGCGTACAACCAGCCCTCCTCAATATTGTTATTGTCAGGCTGTGCTGACTATTACTAGTGTCTGATGGCTGTGCTCTGATCATCCCTAGTGTCTTTAATAAAGGATGTGCTGCTGCGACAAGTTTGCTGTTTTGTCTTGTTCTTTTAAAGTAGCAAGAGATAAGGAGATAGTAAATGACTGCGAGTCACTGTTATTGTCTTTATACTTAGTGTAAAGTGTCTGATCTCTTAAGTATTTAGAAATATAGAATTGATCCAACTGAAAATCTTCTGCTAGTTGCAAGAATTTGACAGAGTGTGGAAGTGGTTCAGGCCCATTGTACATCAGCCTGGTAAGTGCATGAGAAGGCCAGTGTTCACCCAAATATGCGACACAAAAGAAGAGATATCTGATATCTTTAGAAAATGTGAACCCCTCCAGCATCTTAATACCTATGGAACTGCTTGATGTGTAAAAAGGAATAGCCTGCGCTGACTCACTGAAATATTTTTGGAATAAATCACTGCTACTGACTGGCCCCACAGAGCATTCAATAGCAAGCTATGTGGTGTTAGCTGGTAAGGCTTCAGCACACTCTAGAGTCCCCAACCCTTGGCTCTTGCCAATCTGCACCTAATACTTTCTGGAATTAGGTAAACAGGGCATATCCCTGCAGGAAGGGAGTGGGCATTTCATTCCAATAAATATCTCTGTAATTTCTGTGTATATTCCATGAATGCTTGGTTTGGATACTCTGAAGCGCGGTGTGGGTTTCTGAATGTGTCAGATACCCGGCTAACGAAAAACACAAAGAGGGTCATTTGCTGTACTGCTCTGGGAGTGCTGCACTCTCAGGGATGAGGCATTAAACCAAGGCCCTGCTGGCTTGTTCAAGGGGATGTTAAAGATCCCATGGCACTATTCCAAAATAGAATAGAGTTTCTCCTGGTGGTTGATCCCAATCCCCCAAATAAAATGGATTATTCACTTCATGGCTGTTTGTGGGATTGGGCTGTGTGTAGATTAGCCGCCAGGTTCGCCTACAAATGCGCAGTCGCTGCACTTCACAGTAAAATCATGTGAAGTACCTTGAGACATCTCAACAACATGGTAGGCTACTATATCAAATGCAATAAATAGTTATTTGTTTATCCGTCAGACCTGTACAATGACTGTACGATAATAACTAGTGATCAATCTGAGCCTCAGCAGGAGGCTACTTAAAACCTACTTTAATTATAAAACATTAAAAATACGCAAACAAACATTTTCAGTGTGACTAAAAATATTTTTCAGTATGAACATGTAAAAAATCATTTAGTAAATGGACCCAGTCTTTAGGCATTTATCACTTGCAAATAACTGACTGTACAAGGAAAACAATCCTGACATTAATATTGTATATTATGCTGTACGATTCACCACAAAATGTGCAGAAGAAAACTTGCTGATGGACTGAAACCTGCTCTGCACAACACCAGGTGATTTCAGCAGCAATCGAGAGACAACGGGTGATAATTGAATGGGGACTCTGCTCACCATCGCTCCTTGACGGTCCACTAGATGGGCCAAGAAGATTCAAAGGCTGTGAAGGCAGGTGATAGTTATATAGCTTCTCGCCCACCCCCAAATGCAATCCAAACAGGATGTCAAGCTCCCACTCCAAGTTGTTCTACTTCTGGAAGTTGGTTTGTAAATGCAGAACACCACTTACAAAGTCAGCCAGTTTAATAATACCAAATGTAGCAGAGAGTGAGTTTGCAAAACACCTTTTGCTCTAGTCTCCAAAGTCAGACCTTTCATAAAAATGTCCTTATGTGAAGATTTGTCAAAGTGATATTAGATATAAATTTTTAGATAATTTAGTTTCTAAGGCTTGGTGATTGAGTTATGTTTCTGTCAACATAAAGATAAAAGCATTTTGCTTCCAACTTGCTTTACCAACTTTTACACAAAGTGCTCCTGCCATATCAAAATATAATTCCTTGCATCAATTTTGGAGCTGTTCCCAATTAACCTGGCTCAGCCTGGCTCTCTCACTTCTGATACTGAAGCCTATAAAATGGAAAGCTCGCACAAGCTGTGAGCTCCTATAATCTTGCCTGACACCTCAGTGCTCCTACACCGAGGAAGTGCTGCATTGCTGAAGATCACATCCTTCATAAAAGACAAAGAAATAAAGGCCAGTCTGCCAGGTCTCATGTGATCCTAATCGCTCCCTCCACTTAACTGATACTGGCCGTCTTCACGTCCCCGCTGATCCAGCCCACCATTAGTGACTGAGCCTTCAACTGCTGTGCCCCACTCTCTGGAACTCCAGCTCCAGATGAGGAGCTGTGATCTCTTGTGTGGTGGCTGCTTATGGGGTGCGGTGGCTGTGTGTGGTGACTGTGTGTGCTGTGTGGTGACTGTGTGTGGTGACTGTGTGTGGTGACTGTGTGTGGTGTGTGGTGACTGTGTGGGTGACTGTGTGTGGTGACTGTGTGTGGTGTGTGGTGGCTGTGTGTGGTGTCTGTGTGTGGTGTGTGGTGGCTGTCTGTGGTGTCTGTGTGTGGTGACTGTGTGTGGTGACTGTGTGTGGTGTGTGGTGGCTGTCTGTGGTGTCTGTGTGTGGTGACTGTGTGTGGTGACTGTGTGTGGTGTGTGGTGACTGTGTGTGGTGTGTGGTGGCTGTGTGTGGTGTGTGGTGGCTGTGTGTGGTGTCTGTGTGTGGTGACTGTGTGTGGTGTGTGGTGACTGTGTGTGGTGTGTGGTGGCTGTGTGTGGTGTGTGGTGACTGTGTGTGGTGACTGTGTGTGGTGTGTGTGTGGTGA